TTTTTTTTTTTTTTTTGTATTTTCATAAATAACTAAAAAACATTAGCGTAAATTTACTTCCAAATAAAATGATTGACTGTCACAGGAGCGTGGCTGCTGCATACAGTGAAGAGGTAGAGGTTACAAAAATCATTAATATGAGTACAACGAAAAGTACACATCATATAGATTTTTGTGTCGATCTTTTGGCTGAGGTGTAAGGAAAAAAAGTATACGTACGATGGCCAAAAAGTGGAGCTACTATTAACCGCACATTACTGGCTTTGCCTCCAGCTCGACCGATAATATAGTGCGGTCAGTAATAGCCCAACTTTCTGCCCTAGGTACGTAGTATACTAATTCTTTTTATGTTTAACAGTATTTAAATATTCTTTGATTTAATAATTTATAACAACAAAAAGCGTGCATGCATAAAAACCTCCTTCCAGTAACCTAGTACACACGGTCCATACGTTTCTCAATATACTTATTAATCAAAATTTTAAGCAATTTATTGCTGTAGCTTATATACGACCAATATACACCGTTAACTCAGTACTGTACTGCTCAATCTTTGTTTCACCATTTGTTAATTGGTACAGTACAGCTACAATATTTGCATACTTAACTTTACTTTATCATCTCTTGTTTTTTTGTAGCATACAGGCGGTAATCATGTAAGGATTCTATTAATTCATAAGCATATCTGTGTGTACCGGTATGTTGCAACACATGTTATACCAGTCTGACTCTGACACTGCTAGCAGTAGTAGTAAATCCATAGACATAATATTTCAATATATCTGACTTTCATCGGGCATCGATGCAATTTTTTTTCTAACAATAGAATTATATGAATATTTTTTCACGCTACTAAACACATTTCTGGGTTGTTAAAATAAATGATTTGTGCATGATTATTTCATTAATCTTCGTTTTTACAAAATGTAGTTCTCATTACAATTTTATAAGACTATTGTTAGTTAGGAAAAAACTGATAAATATACATTGTCTATGATAACAGTGGTGCGATAAATAGATTAAACACGTTACATAGTATATTTTTCGCAACATGAAAATATGTGTACTCCAAATTTACAAACTTTATACTACTAGAAAACTATATACTACTAGAAACAAATATATACTATAAGAAAATGTTTTTTTGTATACTCAAAACGCTCGTTATCTCTCAAACCAACCAGTTGAGGGAGTTGGCTCACTCCCACAGGGAGGTAAAGGGGAGCACGTGCATGTGCATGAGACACCGTAATGATGTCTGCTGTATATCCATGGAATTTTTCCATACAACATTTTTTTTTCAACATTTTTATCGTTAAGTTAATTCAGCTCCAACTCTCTTATTGTAAAACCATAAGAAAATTTTACTGAGCGTATGCTTGCAATAGTTTAGTTTTTTCACTATTTATAACTTATGTGTTAGGGTTCATAATAAACGTTAAAATTTTTTTCTCGACATATTGCCCATAGACATTTACAGAAAAACGTGAATATATATATATGTCATTGTAAAAAAACATGGACTTTTCATGCTCTTCCTCTTTACTAACAGTTAGATCAATTAAATAATGACTGTAAACAAAAATTGTATTCAAAGTAATTAAGTTTTTTTGTATGTATACGGAAAAT